AATTTATCATTTTAAATCTATTACCGGTAATCATCTGTCCTGAAACTCTGCGTCAGTCGGCTATCGAATAAGGTCCTTCGGGAAAATCTCAATAACTGATTTAATTCCTCTGCAAGGCTTAATGGTATTTTTTTATTTTATTTTTTTTTTTAGGCCACATTATAGCTCAATTGCAGGAAGTTGATGGCCTTTTCCCCTTCTTGGTTTGTCCTGATTAAACCTTTTTTTCTGTCGGTTTCTTTTTCAGCAAAATCCATTTCTGAGCTATTTTAATATTTTTTTACAAAATTTTGTCAGTGGCGCTCAATTTACTTGATCAACATGATGTAGAGATTTTTACACAGAAAAGTATTTTACTGAGAAGAGTGTGGATGTAAAAGTCGAATTGTTTGAGGTGATGGTATTAATGTCTATATAACTGTGTAAAGGTGAACTGTTTAAAGAAAATGTTTTGATGGTGAGTTATCAAAGATCTTAATTTTCACAGATCGAGTCAAGGGGGCAGGCGGGAACAACATGAGGGACAGATCCACCATCAAGCGTCTGAATATGTACAGACAAAAACAAAGATGGTAATGGATGAAAATATATTCTTCTAATGTTTTTATCAGAATTCTATGGTGTTTTCAGGTAAATTATTAAAAATACTTCCTGTATTAACACCAACGGTTTGGTTCTGTCTACAGTAACAAACAAGGGAAAGTGATTAAACCTCTACAGTACCAGTCTACTGTAACTCCAGGAACAGTCGCCAGAGTTGAACCCAACATCAAATGGTTTGGTGAGTAAATGTTGTTTTTCTGTTGCTGCTAATGATGTTTGAGAATCTCCTGTTGTTTAGAATATCCTCTAATGTGATTAATGGACTTTTTTTCATATCTGATCAATTTTTGAATATTTAAACCTATTGAGCCTTAATCCGTTTTTTTTTTTTTAGCAAACACTCGAGTGATAAAGCAGTCATCCCTGCAGAAGTTCCAAGAAGAGATGGGGGCGGTGCAGAAGGATCCATATCGTGTGGTGATGAGGCAAAGCAAACTGCCCATGTCTCTTCTCCATGACAGAGTCAAAGCTCATGTGAGTAAAATAACAGCAATAGTTTAGAAC